GAAATACTAATGTTACTTATATCAGCATTTTTACGTAAAAACATTTATGTAAATGTTTGCCAAATATAATAAACTGTCTGTTCCAAAAATGTTTTATTTATAAACTTCCCGAACCTTTTAATAAACTACAAACTGCAACTTAGGTCTACGTTATCAATCAAAGTCAGAATTACAAAGGCGTACACAGTAAGGTGAAATCCGTTTGAAAAAGCATACACTGAATCATTTTTTTAAACGTAACAAACAGCAGGGTCTACATTGTTTTTTCAACAATAACAATAATTTGTATTAATGTCTTATGAATAAATTAATTGTACTGAGGTGGTTTTCCGCATTATGCTTTCAACAGGTATCAGTTTACAATATCAATACCCTATGCTTCTCCTAAAAAAATAAGAATAAATCAATAATCAAGGACAATACCCCAATTACTCACCATTAACGCTTTTACCATCCTGACTAAGCGCGACACCTGCTGGTGACAAAATACTCCCCTATACGTCACTGTCAAGCGTGTAAGTGTGGGATCTAATCTTTATGGTTGTGCTGATTCCAGTTAATTTATGTATATATCTTTTGTAGACGCTTGTATTTCTATAGACATTTACGAATTTGAGTTGTGTGTTTGGCGCAATGGTATGGATGTTCTTGGCTTGGCTGTGGCTCTTTCATCTCGACTCCAGTGCACAAACATATAGCTTAATGCGACCAGTGTTCCCTCTTTTATTCCACTCACCATAGCAACCGAGAGGAAGGGTCCAGAAATGCTTTGCCCATGAATGAAGCAAACGTTCTTAGTGGGGCTGCGAGAGAGATGGCATCTTCGACCGGGAGGGCACACAGTTAACCCAAGAATTATCGAATGGAAAGGTTTCCGTTATGTTTGCATATAGACTATATTGCATTTAAATATATGAACCTTCATTTTTTTTTTATTCGAATTTAATCTAAATTTAGTTTTGCAACTGTCTGTATAGCCTATATTTTGGTCACCCCAAATGTTTATAATTTAAACTGTGTCTATTGCTGTCTCGTTTATTTTAAGCATATCTTGCTTAGACACTTGCATATTTTCGTTGCTACCGGTCATGATCTGCTAGACTGGTTTCTGCTCAGTTGCTCCTCGTGTGCTGTGTTGTCTCTCACATTCGTTCAGTAACAACTAAAATCCTTGCCGTCGTTCACACACCGTCTCGAGTTCTACATCGTTCGCAAGTCAGTGCTGCAGACCAAGTTGCATCAAACTTTTGCATAGAAGTAAAAGATCGATTTATGTAAAAGACCTGATATCCACTTGTACGCGACTCCGCCGAGAATTCCACCGAGGGTCTCCTGTTTGAATTTGATTGATTGCACATTCTCCACTGGACATTCACTACAAAACAGCAGCTTGACCGTCTGCTCGCTATTTATAAAGCTAAACAGTCTTATTGATTTATATATATATAGGTACTTTAAAGATAGATTAATGTTAAGGTAGGCTATATGGTAATACAGCTGCAACCCCGCTGAATACTGATTTATTTTCACTTACCGTAAGATTCCACGATAACTGGAAAAATGTCTCAAATACTGCATTGTTCGTTCATCAGTGACCGACTCTCTCCCTCCGTTTTGGTCCTTCCTAAGATTTTCTTCCCTCTGACTCAACTGAGCGGAGCTCTCCTCTGCACCGCTATTATTTTCACTAAAATATATGAAAATTTATGCAAATGAAAATCAGCACTAACTGTTTGTCTCTTGTTATACTTGGGGATTTTTCCCTCTCTACTTGCACAGAAAACAAATGATCTCCCCAGCAGGGAACACGGGGACCTTGTTACATAAACAAATAAATAATAAACAGCCTACTTTTCAGATAAAAACATTAAACTTCAAAAGTTGAAGGCTTGAACATTTGAAATTGCTTTGACTCCTCAGAGTGAGTGAATCCCTTTTTCTCATACTGGCTATCACGTTTCTTATGGCCGCACGAGACTTTCTTTGAAAGCGAGCTGCATATCAGTCATTTAAACCAAAATCCGCTGGAAATTAATGAATAGACAGCCCCGTGGCGGTGGCCCTACTTTGCCATTCAATGTAAACAAATCCACGAGGTTCTCTCGGTTTTTGAGTCTGATCCAAATGAAATCTTCTGGGAAGGGGAGTGCGTCTCTTGGGTTTTCTACAAAACCTGATTCATTGTCATTATACCCAATACACCGATACTAAATTAAATCTAAAATAAGCTTTTTTGTCACAATCGCTTTTGGAGTGATTATTGGTGTAAAATGGTGCATTGGTTTATGTAGGATATGGTTTGCCTGTCCTTATTATGATAGCTATGTATGCTATTATTCTAGCAGTTCATAAACATGGAGATCCTTTGAAACCGAGTGTCACACCTGGGGGGACCATATGTCAATCACCCGAAATTTTCTTTGGACTTGCACTTTTATTTATAGGCCTACCACTGGGTGAATCCATATGTTGTAGGGGTCTGATGGTAAAGTCTAAACAATTCAGCGCGAAATTTGAAAAGGAATGTTGTATATGTGCCCTATCGACAGTCGATCTTGGTAGTTAAATTAAAAGACGTTTCTTGCAAATCCCCGAAGGACTGCTCAGTTTGCCTTCGTTTCGGTTGCCACTTTCTCCCCATGCCTTTCTTGTGTTCAGTTGCCTTGCACTCTCTGTTTCCGCTTGGAAGCATCGCACAGTCATCTCGTTAACTCTTGAGAGGCCGACGTTTCAGAAAAAATAGTCGATAGTAGTGACGCAGTTGCGATGGTTATTGCGTCGATATATTTATATAATCTTGCTTAGTTTAGTTTAAAAACTGCAACAGACATGCTGGAAGAGAAACTATATTTTAGACCTCCTTTTGTCAGTAAGAGTGAAATCGTTGTACACAGAGATCACATGCAGCCAGTGCAATTTCAGGGCTTTTCAAAAGATCTATTTCGAAATTTCAGTTGTAGCCTATTGTAGCCTAAAGATCAGTTGTAGCCTATTTGTTAGAGGTCACTGTCCATCACTCTTATCTAAATTCAACCTAAAGCTAGTAATAGAACTATGTGTTGTTATTTTATTATGGCCCTGAGAAATTGCCCACTAAGAGTCACACTGTCTTGTCAATAATTCACCAAAATAATTCACCAAAACTATGGGAAATTGTACTTCAGTGGGGATTTATTCATATTTTTCCATATTCTTTAGAGTTTTCGGTCATTTATCTTGATTTATTTATTTAAATTCAAAAGCAGCCAATTGGAATAGCCGGAAGGGGGGTCTAAGTGCCTGAAGCGAGTTCTCTAGACCTGTCAATCTTGCCGGTGCTATCCAATCAACGAGAGCCGTACACCCGACTTCCTTGCGTTTGGTGAAAAGACTTGGACGACGTACGCAGCACAGGGTAAACACTCGTGTGTCCTCGAGCTCTGAGGGAGGGACGGAGCTAACTGTCAGAGAGAGAGAGAAAGAGAGAGAGGGAGAGTGCGCGAGGGAGAGGAGAGAGAACAAGCGAATGAGAAAGAAGGCATGCAACACTGCTTTGCACTGTAATACTGGATTGTACTTCAACTGGAGCGGTTTGGCAGGTTTAAACACATCAAAACAGAACAAAGAGACAGACTTTACAGCACCATAAAAGAATCTGCAAAAGAAAAGAAATAAAGGGACGGAGCAAGTGAAATCGCTGCGGCTAAATAACAAAAGAATTTAGGAAGAACCACGTTTAATATTTTTCCACTCGGTAACGGAACATACGTTTGGACTTATTATTTTTAAGGGCATATTACAACTTCTTCAAGCGCCAGAAGTTTCTTGCGGGACAAAGTTTTGATTTTTTTTGGTTTTTCTTTGTTTTCAGACTATTTAAACAGAAAATATAGATCGAAGGACTGTTTGACTTTCGAAGGCTTTTCAACGCTGACATAAAAGTGGAATTTATCGTTTCAGTCATTCATATGTTCGAAATATATGAATACACAAATTATTCAAGAGACGGATTTCGTCTTCTCTCCTACAATATCTTTTTCTTTGCTTTTTGTTGATGGTGTTTGTCAAAACACAAGCCGGACTTTTAAAGTTTGAATAATTCATGAGATAGCCTATAATTTGCCTGCATTAAAAAAGTTTCTACAAAAGGGAGGGGGTGATCAGCAAACATATTCATAAGGTTAGCGGAATGGCCACAGCGGCTTCCAACCCTTATCTACCCAGCAGTAGTATATTATCGTCCGGCTCGATCGTGCACTCGGACTCCGGAGGTGGGATGCAGCAGGGCAGTGCTGCGGTAACCTCAGTGTCCGGTGGGTACAGAGGAGACCCAACAGTTAAAATGGTACAAAGCGATTTCATGCAGGGCGCAATGGCAGCGAGCAACGGGGGACATATGCTGAGCCACGCTCACCAGTGGGTGACGTCCTTGCCTCACGCTGCAGCGGCGGCTGCGGCTGCCGCAGTGGCCGCAGCTGAAGCCGGATCGCCTTGGTCGTCTAGTCCCGTTGGAATGACAGGCAGCCCGCAGCAGCAGCAGGACGTGAAAAATAACTCGGGGAGAGACGATTTGCACTCTGGGACTGCGCTGCATCACAGGCCCCCACATTTAGGTCCCCACCAGACTCACGCGGGTGCCTGGGGTAGCACAACCGCTGCCCACATCCCTTCTCTAACTGGGAGCCAACAGCAGCAGCAGTCCCTCATATACTCGCAGCCTGGAGGCTTCACGGTGAACGGCATGCTCAGTCCGCCGGGCAGCCAAAGCCTAGTACACCCGGGTCTGGTGCGTGGCGACACCCCAGAGCTCGATCACAGCAGCCACGA